CAGGCCTCTCTCATCTTTTTAAGTGGGAGAACTTGCACAATTGGTGGCTGACTAAATACTTTTTTGCCCCACTGTACTTTACTGTGATTGAAGGCAATGATGACAGGGTATTTATCTAAAAGAAAGATACTCCTTAAATTAAGACAATCCCATCACCAAATAAGAAATTATAAATTCTTTATAAGCATAATGATATTATGCTTAACTGATCCCTGTATTTTACTTTGTTAGCTAGAGCTGCCAACTTGGTAAGGGCACTTTATAAATAATTATCATTATCATCACTGTTTATTGAAACAAATCCTAGAGATGTTTTTTCCCAACAAAAATCCCTTCCCTTGAATTGAGGACTGTTATCTTGAAATTGTCTGTAAAATTAGGCACTTCATTTACAATAGTAATTGCTCCCGTGTGCATTATCTCACATATAACCTATCCCTCTTCCTCCTCCTCCTCAACAGAAAAACTGTAGAAATGTGGGCTCAATAAACATACATCTATGCAGGTTTATTCTGGAAACATAAACCTATGCATATCTATTTCATGCTCTTACCTCCAAGTATGTATGTATAAGCTACTGGTATGTTGGGGATGGATCTGTTTAGCCTCATTTACTCTGTATAAACTAAGCTTCTAGTCCTGTTCAGTCTCCATACTAACCTCATTCATCTCTCATTCCCCTCCACAAGCAGAGGGATAATATCCACAATAAAGTCTCCTAATCCACTGATTGTGGATCCTAGTTTTCCAGAGTCCCCATTTGTCTATCAGTTTCAGCAGGGAGCAACACTAGCCAATCTTATCTAGCCTCCCAAGCTAAATAGGATCAGACCTAGTTAATACTTGAATAGGAAACCATCATGGAATTCCAGGCTGTAGGCTAGACTGGGAAGTCAAACTATATCCCAGAAGATGGCTATGTTAGACCATTTCCATACTGTTGCCAGGAGAACTACATGGATGTAGAGTTAAGCTCTATGAGTTGAGCTTAACTCAAAGGCAAGTTTACCTTTTATCATTTGTCTAGAGAACTTACATGGACTGAAGAAATTCTTCACTGCATTCACCCTCTATCCAATAAAAGTGGCAAGAGGGTGAGCTAGTGTCCATCCCCCTTAAAAATGGCTTCTCTATCCTACTCTCCTTTCAGCCATTTACTTTCATTATTTGCTCCTCCTACCTGGTTGCTCACTTTTAACAGGATTTTCTATTACCATATTCCCAGCAACAAGGGCTAGTATACTTCTCCCATTGTAAATATTAACTTGATTTAGTTAAATGGAAGATAGACAAACAGATATCCTACAACATCCTTGATTATGTTACCTTAAATCATTAAGGTTTTATGTACAGTTTATGACTCAACAAGATGGCACCACATCAGACAATCCAAGCAGAGCCCTAACCCCATTTTGATTTTTCTGCTTGCCTCATATTACAGAACACTAAACTACTAACAGGAGAGAGGGAGACACAGACAGACAGACAAATGGACAGCTACTGAGTTTTGTTAAGTCCTTGAAGACTTAATCAGTTCACCTTTTCCTTCTACCAGCATATATCATAAAACAAATAAAAAGAAAGAGAAAGTGAAAGTGAAAAACAATAGAAGTTACCTCTTCTAGTACTTCATCTGCTCCTTCTCCAGTTATAGCCACTTGGGATGTTGCTTGTGAGCAATCCAACAACTTTTTTCCATAGTTAATAATAACTATTGCTAATTCATATTCTTTCCATGAGCGTAGTATCTATTAAATATATATTATATAATTCTATATAATATTCACAAGTTCTTTTTTAAAAATCAGAAAATCTTGTGCCAACTTATAAAATAAGCCTTAGATCCAAAGAAGCTGATATATAGGGATTTGCGGGGATAATGATCAGGAGAATTACTGCCAGAAGAGCAGTAACCAAAAAGGTTTCTGCTCAGTTTTTCCCCTCCAAGTATATCCAAACATAATGGGATGGGTGCTATTTTATCACAAGTGCTTAGCCTCTATTTGCCGAAGCCGTGTGACAACTTTTTCTTCCATTTTGATCTTATTCAGCAATGAGATCTTACTCTTACTTACTAATGGCCTGTTGCCATAACACAGCAAGACCATGGGGGTGAGGCCCTGTTACCATTGTAATTAATAGTTGAAGGGAAGAAAAAGAATTCTCATGATGGTTGGAGACAAACTGTCAGTATGAAGGGAAAAGAAAGTGCAGAAAGAAATATAGAAAAGGAATACAATTCAAAGGACAAAGTCAGAATCCCACAGGAGAAAGGGAAAAAAGCAAGAGACTTTTAAAAGGCACAGAAGTTAACTGGACTGACTGGAAGGGCATGAGATAACATAAGGACAAAGAAGAGAAAAAAGTAGTAGATGACTGATCAGCAAGTTGGAAGAACAAGAAGTTGATCCCCAGGCAGTTGGTGATAGAGAAGTGGAGGTCAAGGTGTAGACCACAGACTTGGCAGTGCCAGATGGCAGGAAACTAAGGGGAGGACCCCCAGACTGAAAAAGCATGAAGGAGGGCCCCTCATCCAAATTAGGGCACTAGTGAGTGTGGGAAGAGTTTTAGATGAGCACTTGGGTAAGTGTGGATGGTACGATGGGGTCAGAAGTAGTGCTTGGATAGACTATGACCCCCAAAGTGTACTGAGAATATTGGGGGGAGGGGAATAACCTATATGGCTTGGGGAGGCAGAAACCTTGACCTGGTCGCAGTCACGTGATTTTCATAACTTAATGTTATGATTAGCATTACACTTACATCAAGCTGAATGCTATTAACAGTACATTTTAAGTCAGACCCAGAAACGTTCTTCTTCAAACTATGTTTTGAATCTAATTTACAAGTTCTAAGAAGGGAAGGAAAGAAATGCAGGATATTGAAGGAAAAGAAGAAGAAATAAGAGATATACAGTACACTCACAAAACTTAGGGAGGTCTTCCAAATATAATACAGTAAACATAGTTTAGTAAGTTTTACAATACAATACAAAATACAATACAATACAATACAATACAATACAATACAATACAATACAATACAATACAATACAATACAATACAATACAATACAATACAATAC